GAGTATTGGCTTCTTTACTTTCTTGTAATTGAAATTCTTGGTTTTTTATGGGCATAATAATTTTTTTATATAAATTATATTGGTTTGTTGAAAGCTTTATGTGTTAATATTGGTTGTGTAACCTTGAAGCTTTATACTGTGAATTCTGGGTGTTTAATGTTGGTCCGAATTGTCATTTATTATTGGGTTATTGTGTTTTTGTGGTGCTTTTAATTTGTTTCATTGATTGTGTGGTCTTTATTTTGTTAAAGGAGAGAGATTTTGTTGGAATATTCTACGTTTGCTTGAAAATTTACTTCCTTTCCATTGACTATGTTTCGGTTACGCTGGTTGGATGATTTTGATGAGTTTTATGTCATTGCTGAGTTGGAGTGATTCCGTCTTTGTTGGGAATCATTTTTTTTTTTTTTTTCATATTCACCGAGGTTATGTATCATTCAAATCATTCTTAGATTGATCACTATAGTCATTGTATTCATGATTTTCAGTAATCCGTCATCTTGCTTGGTGCGTCATGGTATTTAATGAGCTTTCCTAATGAATTTGGGATGACAAATGACATAGATTACACAGTGGTAATGTCCACTTAAGAAAAGAGAGGAGAGAGAAAGTACACAAAAAGTTAAGTGGTTGGGAAACTTTCTTCATGATAACAAGTACAAGGAACTCTCAACCTATAAATCTTGAACTCAATCCCAGTACAACCAAGCTCTCAATTTTCTCCCACTCCCTCGTTGCTTCCTAATATCTTGCAAACTGTTAGGCGCACTTAAGGGCCTTGATGTGGACTTAGAGAAATACCTTAAACTAATTAGGTGCAGGAAAACTTACTTAAGGAGCAAGAAACTTCCTTTATGTGTCTTAGTCAATATAGTCTCTCTAGGAGATCCTAATGGGAAACTAAACCCAAACATTACCTTGAGTCATATTCTAACAAATCTCCACTTTGACTAAATCTCCAACTGCCACTCCATACACCTATCAGGAGTATGACTTTAGCACACCTTTCTTGCACCCTTATTATATGAGCATGTCCACCACTTCTATCTCGAACAATGAAGTAATACCATCCTTAGTTGCTTCTTATCTCCACCTCGGTCGGAGCTTTCTCATTCTTGCTTCCAATAGCACCTTACTTATTTTCTATAACACCATCATAGATTCATAATGTTTGCAGAAGTTCAACTTTTCACTCAACTGCCTTGCAACTTACTAATCTACACGTCTATTATCCAATTGCTTAATTTTTTAATTAATTAGGTTCTGATAGTGTTTTGGTATAGAGTTCTAAGAACATTAATTAGGTCCTCGAGATTCTTAAAAATTCATGGAAGTGCAGTGTTTTTATTCCAATGTTTAGAACATTGAGAATAAACTACTCGGATTTTTTCTAGTATATCTTGCTCTCAGCTGCGTTATGATTTTGAAAGGTGGCGATCACCATTCCTACTAAACCTCCCACCTGTATATCTGCTTCTTCCTCTACTCCAATTAGACTTGGAATCTGATTTCACCAGAAGACAACTTCAATATGGAAAACTGGTATGGTGCTTTTTATAATCAGTTTTCAAGAGAGATATTGCCACCTCATTCACAGTCCACACGTCTTTCCCAACTAAGAGGGTTGTCACAAATGTCTCTTTTGACTAAGGCATAGATGGACCAAACTTTTACTGTTTATTAAATATCTGAGTTCAGCTTATATTCAGGCTTTTCATTCTTGTTGCTCAATTTGAGTTAGGTCAATCTGTATAGCCTTGAGTCCATTTCATCCAATTTATGTTTCATATTGGTTTCGTCATTGTTTAGTCAGAAGCTATGTGTCCTGGGGTTGCTTGCTTTTTTATTATACTGTTTTTAAACGCTTTCAATTGCAGAAGCAACACCTAAGACCATTATGAGAACAATGGGAGTCAAAGGCCTTACCCTTTATCACTTGAAATCTCATCTTCAGGTTTGTTTTTCTTTCCCCATTATCTAATTTGTGGTGAGCTAGAGCTGAAATTGTAGAGAGAGAGAGAGAGAGGGAGGGGAGATGAAGGAGGAGGGAGGGAGGGAACTTGTAATTTAGACATAAAGGGCCAATTAACTGATTAGTATAGCCTCTGTACTTCTTACCCTAACAAACCTTTTTTTTTTTTTTTGTAATCTTACATAAATACCGTTTTCAAATTTTCTTTGTTGTATTGATGATCTATGATTGCAGAAATATCGATTGGGGAAGCTATCGTGCAAAGATTCAGCTGAAAACTCCAAGGATGGTATTGACCTCAAACACTTTAAAATATATAAGAGCTGGATCATTGTATTATTAAGTACCCTATACTGTTTCTGTGCCTTTTTTATGATCCCATATTAAAGTGCAGGAAAATCACAAATGCTACCTGAAACTATCCAACATAATGAGCCCATTTTCAATTTTCATTTCGTACATTTTCTGCAAGTTGTTTCAATACATTCAGTGCAAAAATTTTGCTATTTTCAGCAGGTTGTGGCCATTCGCTTTCATTTCCCTTTTCTCTCTTGGCATCTCACATCTCTTTTCTCTTTTCTATTGTGTGGTCTGATGCATTGTGACCTTTTGAAGGCAAGAAAATTATAAATCATTTGTTATAAACTGCACGGGCCACCACTTTTTCATTTGCTTGGAGTGCTGTGCTATCATTATAAATCTCTGAATAATCAAATTCATAACTGTGAACCATGACATCTGCTGGTGAAAGACGTGTTTGTACTACCCATTCTGATTGCAAAAGTTCTTGGTGATAAGCTGTTGCATTTGGACTTATTAGTTACATAAGAATATGTAGGGGTTGCAGCCTCTTGTATTGCTGAAAGCCAGGACACTGGTTCATCCTCGGCTGTCTCATCAAGAGTGATTGCGCAAGATTTGAATGAGTATTTGAACTTTCACTTATTACTCTTTCACAAATTACTTCTACTATCTATATATGTCCATGTAATTGTTGCTTTTCATTTTTGAAACAGTGGCTACCAGGTTACTGAGGCTTTGCGAGTACAAATGGAAGTCCAACGGAGACTGCATGAGCAGCTGGAGGTTAGTCTCTTTTGTGTCTTGTTTAACTACTAATTTGCAGCTTACAGGGTTTTCATTACCTTGAACAATTGTATAGTTCTTTTACGGCATGCACAGACCACATCAACTTGTAAATATAACCACAGGTCAGAACTCAGGAGCTCCTGGCGAGAAAATGTAGTTTCTGTATTTCTCAATAATGAAATAATGATTACACCGTGGTTTATATGCTGAGAGCTCCCCTCCATATTTTTTTAATACTTAATTTGTATCCTACTATTTAATCTTTCATTAATTACCATCAAAAAGTAGGAAGGGTATATATGGAAGATTGGATACCAATTGAGTATTAAAAAATAGGAAGGGGTGTGGGAAAAGTAGTTAAGGGTGTGTGAAAATCACAACCCCTAACTAAACTATGAAACAGAAAAATACAATTAGAAAGCTGTACAATAGATGAACTAATGACTAAGCGCCAGCTGACAGAGTTGACTTGGAATGTACATTCGTCTCTTTAGAAAATAGCCTTTTTTTGTAAAAAAAAAAAAAAACAATATTTCAGATTGCCTTGATGGTTTTACGGTTTTACCTGTATGCTTACGAGATAAATCCATTTGCTACCTTGACCTAAAACACTCTTTGACCCCCCAGTATAATTATATATTCTTGTTTACCTCACCCCCAACCACCCCCCCCCCCCTCAAGCACTATGCTAAATTCATTGTGATTATTAAGTGGCAATTTCTAATGGTTATATTGTATGCAGGTGCAGCGTCGTCTTCAACTTCGAATTGAAGCACAGAGCAAGTATCTTCAGTCTATACTTGAGAAAGCTTGTGAGGCTCTGAACGACCAGGCTGCCTCAGCCGCTGGGGTTGAAGCTGCTAAGGAGGAACTCTCTGAACTAGCTATTAGGGTTTCCAATGACTGTGAAGGGATAGTCCCACTTGATTCCGCAAAAATCCCTTCATTGTCGGAAATTGCTGCCGCTTTAGAGAACAGAGATGTCTCCAATGTAATGGCTCGCCTCGGCAACTGCTCTGTTGATAGCTGCCTGACATCAACCGGAAGCCCTTTTTCGCCAATGGATATGAGTTCACTCGCTGCTGCTATGAAGAAAAGACAAAGACCCTTCTTCGGTAACGGAGACTCGTTGCCTTTGGAAAGCAACATGAGGCAGGAAGTCGAATGGATGATGAGTAACATTGGATGAATAGCAAGACATTCCCCTAGAAAAGAAACCTTCATCATTTAATTTTTCTTGTCTAGCTAATCTAAAATGCACCGTCTTTTGCAAAATGTACCATCAGTGGTCTGTATATTCTTAAAGCAGATTGTTTGCATATGGGCTCTGGGGACACCTTTACTTTTATACATGTGGAATTGCCTCCCGTTTACAGAGAGAGACTTGTATGGCACTTGTACGGTACACCGCTGCAGTGGTGTCCCGGCCCATAGAAGTCAGACTCCCTTTTACATGCTCGACTGGCCCTGGAATGGTTTCGAGTTCTTCTGGATAGGGAGCTACTATCGGGCCATACAAGTCATTCTTCATTTTTTATCAATGCGAACGGGAGTTTCAGCCTTGAAATTTCTTCCAACATTGGGAAAGGAAATATCACCAAATGCATTTGAAGTAAAATAGGGAAATATGGTGTGCTCTGTTTAAGACCAATTAATGAGGACTCTCTACACTCTTCGAACAGAAGAGAGATTGAATGTCGTTGGACAAAATATTTGTTGGTTACGTAAATTACTCTTTTGCTTTAAAGATTGTCAATGGGATAGAGGGAAAATGGTATATCCTTCTAGACCATCATATTAATTTATGTGATCTTATATCGAAAAAAATGAATAAATATTTGAGAAGGAGAGACGTTGGAAGCAAAAATATACTTTGGCCACCAAAATTCAAAAGCCATAATAATTGGCATCTCCACTTTGGCATCCCATTCCTTATTTAAACCCTCTCTCTCTCTCTCTCTCTCTCTCTCTCTCTCTCTCTCTACAGACCTTTGGTGAGTGGTACTTGCTTTGTTGCTACTCTTCTTATTTTCTCTCTGTCTTTGCTTTATCTCCGGAACAAAAACTAAACATGAAGACTTCTTCTCCTTCAGCTGGTGAGTTAGTCTAACTCCCTCTTTCTTTCTTTGCTCTCTTTATATTTGTTATCTGATTATCTTTAAGCTGTCAGGTGTTAATTATCTATATTTTTGGAAGAAAAAACCCAGTAATTGTTTTTCAAAAAGTTGAAGGTGAGCATTGCCAGAAAGTTTCTGGGGTCATTTATGTGTTAATTGGCGACGGTCTTTTGTAGCTTAGTTGGTTAAGAGCGTCCCCATGCACCCGAGTTCGATTTCCCCTTCCCCTAATACTGCTCGAATCAAAGAAGAAAATAATGAGCGATTAAATTGATTGCAGTGGTTAATAAAAACTAGGTTTATATCCTTTTATGCTAGTTAATTTACGCTTCTGTTATGCCTTACATGTGTTGTGTGTGTGTAAGGATTTAGAAGAGGTTAGATTGCAGTCTTGAAACAGAAAAACACGGTTTTGTTCTTCACCGGGTTTGCTCAAATTGAGAACAATCGCTCATTATAATATACAACCGCTCTACAAAACTAAAAAATTACACATTCTTCACATGTAAAAAATTATAGTGAAAGCGGGGAAATTTTGGATGATTGTCCTAAACCCTACAGAATATACATTTTCAGTTTTGTGTGATTACCACTGAGATTGGAAGGAAATACGAAAATCATTTAAGCAATTGATTCTTGACCTCGGCAGAGTAATGTTACAAACATATCCATTGAGCTTTTATGTAATTAAATTTCTCATTATTAACAGTTGGAACAATTAAGCATGAGATATTTTGACAGGATATAGGTTTCGTCGTTCTTGTTGAGCTAAACTTGATTCTTCTTCATGTATTATGTAAAGGCACATCCCATCTCCGCTCTCAGCTCAAGTCTATGTCAAACAAAGTAGGAGGTATGCTGTGTTGTTGTAGTTCACCAAATAAGTATAGCAGGTTGGATGCAAAGCTTGAAAAGAAGATGGTTGAAGTTAAAAGAGGTTACTTGGGCCGTAGTAACTTTAAGTCAATTGACAGCATTATCATGAGGTTCCCCCAGTTCAGGGAGGAACTCAAGAAAATTCGAGATGTGTTTGAACAGTATGGTAAGTTTGGACAAAGTGGATGTACTCTTTGCCCAGATTTTCAGCTTTCGAAGATGTTATTATGGAGGTTCAGTGAAAATTCTCCCTCTTGATCTGTTTGTCTCTTTCTCACAGATGAGGACTCAAATGGAACTATTGACCGTGAAGAACTGAAGAAATGCTTGCAGAAACTGCAACTCCATCTGACAGCGGAGGAGATTGAGGATCTTTTCCATTCATGTGACATGGATGGAAGTGAGGGGATACAATTTAATGAATTCATTGTTCTTCTATGCCTCATCTATCTATTAAAGGAACCTTCATCTTCTCATACGGTATTCACCTAAACTCAATTTTGTTTCTCTGTTTGGAATCAATTTCGTAGCGTCCTATACGTAATGTCTTGGGGATTGTTTCAGATATCCAAGATAAACTCACCACAGCTTGAAGCAACTTTTGACACCGTAGTTGAAGTATTCTCATTTCTGGATAAAAATGGCGATGGGAAACTGAACAAGACAGACATGGTGAAGGCATTGAACGAGGCTTCTCCTTTGGAGAAATCCCCTGCACATGTCACCAGGACTCGATTCAGTATAATTTCTTTTGCTTTCTATGAATAAACTATTTCTTCGACATGGATCTAAGGTTCTCATAATTCCTTTTTTTCTTCACTGTTGATTGTTGCAGAAGAAATGGATTGGGACAAAAATGGGAAGGTCACTTTCAGGGAGTTCCTCTTTGCTTTCATCGATTGGGTTGGAATTGACACAGACGAAGAAATGTCTCCAGTACGAAGTTCAAGCAAGTAGTGTGTAGCTTGTACAGCTTAGAAATGGGTGGAGTAGCTGTTCAGTGAGGTCAGATTGATATATCTGCTTGTATTACTAAAGAATCTTTAATCTGTATAAAACAGTTTCGCTGCTCGGTTAGGTCTTCTGATTTCTTTGAAAGTTTGAGCCATCTTGTGAATCCTGTGCATCTGTATCTGGTTATTTGTATTCTTAGTAAACGAAATTGCAGAAAACTTTGTATCTGTTGATATGGCATTCGATTTGGCAAGACATATATAAATATATATATTTACAGTGCTCGGTTTCTGAGAAAAATACATCCGGAGACATGATCCTCTTTCTTTTGTTACACAAAGTCTAACTTAAAGAATAAAAACTAAATTTCTGTGTACGAGGTAAAAACAAGAGTCAAAATTTCCATTAACAGAACTTTATACACTATCTATTTATCACTCTGTTATGCCGCCCGAGTGACTTTCATTGTATTCCTAGAGCTTGGATACTCCTAATTAATGACAAGGAACAACTATTCATTTGTCTCCAATCTTCGACAATTTCCGCCCTTTTCCCTTCTTGCATGAAGCATTTGTCATCACCATCAAGTATCCTTACAATCTGCCGTATGGTTGGTCTTGATCGAGGATTGGAGCGTGTACAGTCAATTCCTAGCTTAATCAGTCTCATCAGTTCTTTGTGATTGTACGCTCCATTCAACCTGAAGTCTGCCAGCTCCTCGAATGGTCTTCTGCGTGCCTCAAATTCATTGACCCTCTTCACCAGTAGCACCTCAGGCCGCCTGAAGTCAATTGCCAGCTGTCCGGTAACAACCTCAAGCATTACCACCCCGAAGCTATATATATCAGCCATTGGTGTTGCTTCTCCAGATAACATATATTCTGGTGACATGTAACCGAAAATTCCACGAACTGATTTGGTGGCGTTAGTACTTGCATGAGACCCGTGGTCATTTCGTGTCAAGAATTCAGCAAGGGCAAATGAAGTCAGCCTCGGGTTCATGTCTGGATCAAGAATAACAGCCGAGGAGGTAATATTTCTGTGAATCACTTGTTCGTCCCATTCCTCGTGAAGATAAAGAATGGCAGAAGCAAGCGATTTTATAATGTTGTATCTGTGACGCCATCGCAGGATACAATTAACGAATCTATTGTTGTGATGGAAAAGTAGGTTACTCAGAAGGCGATCTGCCAAGTAATCGTAGACAACAAGCATCTCTCCTTGTTCCGTGCACCATCCACGGAGCTGTACCAAGTTTCGGTGGCGGAGCCTTCCTAGGTTCTGAAGTTCATCTGAAAATCGCGCCCGCAGTGCTGGGCATGTTTTCATGCCAAGCCGCTTCACAAGGACATGATGGCGGTTGTTAAGAAAGCCCTGGTAGGCTGTTCCAAAGTCCAGCTCCGCTACCCTCTGAGAGTCTGCGAAATTATTCGTAGCAGATACAATTTCCTTGTAGGATATTTTTTGCGGAGTTTCTACCATGGGAAACGTTGATTTCTTCAGATGGAAGCTTTGAGAAGAGCTGACATCACTGCTTCCGTTTTCAGCACTTGCAAAGAGGGTGTCTCCATTGGCTGTGACATAAGTTGATGCAGTAGATGTGGTTGTGTTGGTGGTGCCAATTGTGTACCTGGTGCAGGTGCTGCTGCCATTGTTCGTGCCAGCACTCGAGGGAGAGGATAAAGAGATGTACAAAGGGTGGCACTGAAACGATGGGAGGCCGGGCAACTTGCCATGAATGTTGCCGGAAAGTGCATCCACAACCCATTTCATGTTTGGTCGCGATTGCGGGCTGTGAAGTGTGCAAAGAAGAGCAACATGAAACAAATGCTCCATATCAGAAAGTTGGTAAGAATCATCTGGAATCCTATTGTCCCCTGCTTGTAAAAGCTTCCCTTCATCAGATAGCCTCCGAATCCAGTCGAGCAATATGATCTGATCATCTGAGCAAGCGAGGTCTACTGCCCGCCTACCTGACACCACCTCAAGCACAACAATCCCAAAGCTGAAAACATCAGATTTTGCAGTAGCCACGCTTCTTTTTTGGAAGCTTTCGGGCGGCAAATACCCAATTGTTCCACCAATTCTCGTGGTCTCTGCCATCCGAAACTGAACATTTTTCATCGATGGCGTCCGTGCTTGGGACTCAAGTTCATGCTCTAGCCACCGTGCCAAGCCAAAGTCACCAAGCCGAGCATTGTAATGGGAATCAAGCATCACGTTACTCGTCTTAACATCCCTATGAATGATCTGAGTCTCCAACTGTTCGTGAAGATAGAAAAGCGCTGCTGCCAAGCCGCTGACTATGTTCGCTCTACGCTGCCAACTGAGACAGACCGACCCCATATTTTCAGGTCTCCTGAAAAGCACGCGATCGAGGCTAAGGTTAGGCATGAAGTCATAAACCAAAAACAGTTGGTTTTCATGAACACACCATCCTCTCAGCCGGACAAGGTTCCTATGACGGAGGTGAGCCACGGCCAATAACTCCGCCGCAAAAGTCTTCTCAAACTGCTCTCCTCTCTCCACCAAGCATTTCACAGCAACCACAGTTCCATCACTCGGTAAAACCGCTCTGTACACTTTCCCGAAACCTCCACTTCCAAGAACTTGATCCTCGCTGAACCCGTTCGAGCCAATATAAAGCTCGGAAAAGCTAAAGATCCTCGGATTGTCTCCTCCGACCTTGTCCTTGAGCTGTATCCCGTCCATGTCTTGAAACGCGCCCGAGTGTTGCTTCCACTGCGCAGCGTCATGGCGACAGAAGTTGATCCATATCAAATCATATACCCTGCATAGTGAATCCTTGATAAGACCACGAATATGACTCGTGCAGCGACGATGTGGTGGATTTTTTTTTATGTCTTCCTTGGTAGGTTTGTGGAGGTTTTGGCGGTCCACCGGCTCCATTTCTTTGTAGTCTTCCGGCAGTATGAAGCAAAGACGATTCAGCTCCATGGTGGCGACGGCGGCGGGTGGCGGAGATTATGGACTAGTTGGGTTTGGACATGAACGACGGTGGAGGAGAGCAAGAAAGATGTTGAGAAACTGGATGAATTGTTGAAGGTAAATAGCATATAACAGTCACCCTCAATGCCTTTGGTTTATCAAAAGGGTTAGGTTGCATGGTTGAATTAAATGCCTATCAACCGCTCAAATTGGAACCTACCTCATATTTTTTTCATGAAAAATGTTCTTTGAATATTTTTTCATAGGAACGATCTTCTACTTTGATTAATTTAAATTGCGAGAAAAAAAATTCGAATTTAAATGGTAAAGAGAATTAACTCTAATTAATATAATTACGGCAGCAATAGCGTCAGCCGAAGGTTCCGAATTTATGATTGTGTAGACACAATTGACGACTATTCTATTTCGCGTGAGAGAGAAAATACAATTCAATTGCAATTTCATGGTCCTTTTGGTTGCCAAACATTTGGTTTCACACTTTGGCCAGTTGGCCTTGTAAGCGCGTGGGGACAACTTTTTACAGGGGTTGGTTGACCCTTACATCTTCACACTAGATAAATTAGCAATAGTTAATTAGTATCTAGAAGATGAGCACACACTCTCTGTGCTGTGAACAATTTCATTCTATTTTTTGTTTTTTATTAAGGAGTGTGATTTTGTCAAAATGTATAAAATTGAAGCCTCTTCAACCGTCCACCTCCTCCCAGATTCTCCGCAAGCGCAACCGCTTCCGTTCGTTCAAATATATGATCATCATTTTCTCAAAAGATACAAAATTACTATTTTGCCCTTATTATGTCAATATTGTGTATCAAAAGTGAGGGCAAAATAGGAAAAAAAGTTGACAATGAGGGTTTTCTTAATAATAGTATAGATTACCAAGACTTTTATGTAAAATTAGTATGGAAAACGCGGAAAGGTGTCTAAAAATAGATCAATAATGTGATCAATGTTGTGAAACACTCAAGTTTATATGAGGCTTGGTGCTCGTTTAAAATTGCTTTTAAAATAACTCAAAAAGCTTTTAAAGAAAATGTTTTTGGATTCTAAAAAAATTTGAGGTTATTCCTACAAGAAGCGCCAATTATCTACTTCTTATAGAAAACACTTCAAGTGTTTTTTTAAGATTCATCTGCATTTATTTATTAAAAATTGGTTCCAAAAATATTGTCACCAAAAACAATTTTGGCCTTCTTTTTTTTAACAAGCAATATTTTCTACACTATGGGGGATGAGGTGGGCTTAGCCTCACAATGTGTTAGCAATAATTTGGTTTAAATTTGTTTTTGGTGATAATCAAATCTAAGATCCCTCACATATAAATAAAAAGAAATACTATTAAACCGTATTACTAAATAGAATAAGCGTGTTACTTAGATTCCATACCTATCAATACCTATCACATCTAGTAGTTACTAGAATTAATCCTATGCAAGGCCTATCATGACATGCATGTCTAGTATGTCCAACCGCACCTTGGTCGGATGGCAGACAATTTACTTACAGATTAAACCACTATGTTAATTTTGTGTACCCACAACCAAGACATAGGGGGAGGTACGTGGATTGCCCGCCTTTCCATTTCTATACTTCCTGTATGCTTTTTTGTTTGCATAGTCACGGTTAAGTCACGTTAATATTTTATATTCCTATTACTTTTTGTTTTATTATTTCTATAAAAAATTAATATAAAATGTTAACTTGGCTTAACCGTGATCACACATCACTAGAAGACATGGAAAGAGTATGGAAATGGAAGCCAGACAATTCACCTCTGAAATTTTGGGCCGCCGTTCTTTCTTTTGCTGAGATATCAAATTTGGCGTCATGTCGACTATCAAGCGAAGTGATTGATTGTAATTTAGAAACAGTAAATGCTTTCAACAGTTATTTACGCGCGTTTGATGTAATCAGGCATCATATATTTAATTCATATTACACATTATTGTGACAATGATGTGAGTTTAACAGAGGTAATTTTATTTATTAAATGTGATATCCGTTTACTTTTTTTTTTGTTCTTCTTATTTGATGATTAGCCACTCTTTTACTTATAGGCATCACCCTCTGCATTCAATATATTTAACTAAAAAATAAGAACAACTATCATTGCATTGAGAAGTGTAGGATTTTGATTTCCATATTACTAGTATCACATTTAATTTTCCGACCATGTGGAAGGCCTAAGATAGGCTGGTGCTACCATACACTCTTTTTTACCTTTTACAAAATCGTCTTAATTTTTGACCTTTGAAGATGATTAAATGACAGCAAATAATAAAAAATATGTAAAAAATAAAAAAGAGTGT